TTTTTTTTTTTTTTGGTACCAGGGATCAAACTCAGGTCCTTATGCTTGCAAGGCAGGTGGTGGAACCACTGAGCTAAACCCCCAGCCCAAGAAGGCTATTCTTAAAAAGTTACTTTGCCAGGCTGGAAATTTGCACCTGCCTGGCAAGTGTAAGGTCTTGAGTTTGATTTCCATTACCAGGAAAAGAAAAAAAAACTTAGTTTGCAGACTTTATTAGAAAAATAAGGTTCTTTATCCTTTTGTTTTTACTGTTTTGTTTTAGTTTTTGCGTTTTTGTTTAGATCTTGGAGTTGAAGCGGGTGTGGGGGGGGCGGGGGGGGGAGTACCTGGGATTGAACTCGGGTCCTTGCACTTACGAAGTGGGCAGCAAAACCACTGAGCTAAATCCCTGGCCCCTTTTTTTTCTTTTGAAGTAGGGTTCTGCTATGTCATTAAGTTGCCCAGGCTGGCTTGTTTTGATCTTCTTGCCTCAGCCTTTCAGAGTGCTGGAGAAAAATATACAGTAGTACTTTTACGTATATATAACAAGTCCAAGGCAACAGAATTACATTTTTTTGAAGTTACTTGAAGTTTAGCTTTGATACATAGATAATGTAATTACATCTGTTTAAAGTTTCTTCCAAAGTACTTACCTAATCGTGTGTGTGTGTGTGTGTGTGTGTGTGTGTGTGTTACTAGAGATTGAGCCCAGGAAGCCACATCCCTGGGCTCCTACCCCCCTTTTTTGGAAACAAGGTCTCGCTAAGTTCCCTTGGCTAAGCTTGAACTTGTGATCTTCTACCTCAGCCTTCATTTAATCTTAAGTAGCTTTTCTGTTCGCTCTACTGACTGCTATTCTCATTTATATGGAGATTACTTGTTTTCAAAAAATACTAAGTTTACTATTTTACTTTAAATTTCTTTCTCCCTCTTCTCTGGTTGATTTACTTTACAAATATGTATTGAACTAATACATTAGAGTCTAGGAGAACAGCAATAGAAAAGATAACTGCCCCAGTGGAACTTGAGTGGAGAGAAAAAGTATTAAGTGATAATAGAAATAAGAACATGATCAGGGTAATGGTAAGTGCTCCGAAGGTGTCCTAGTTACTTTTTCATCTCTGAGGCATAGGTTTATTCTGGCTCCCAGTTTGTAGACATTTCAGTCCCTAGTCAGCTGTGACTCCAAGGCAAGGTGGCATGGCAGAGGGACATGGCTGAGGAGAGACAGCTCATGGCAGGGCAGCAGGAAGTGGAGAGAAGGATCAAGAGAAGAGGGAGAGAGCTAGACCCTTCCAGGGCACGTCCCCAGTGACCTACCTCCTTTAACCAGACTTCACCTTCCAAGTCACATTTAGCTGTACATTCATCAGTGAACTAATCCACTGATGAGTATCACACCCCCATGTTCCAGTCACCTCCCAGAAGCCCTACCTATGAGTCCAACAGAGGAAAAGTGTAATGGGGAACAATCAAGACTTGTGGTTTAGGAAGTTATTTAAGCAAAGGGTAACCTAAGTAGTAGAAACTGGATGTAACAAAGACCAAGATTGCTTCTGAGTGATTTAAAAACCCACAAAACTAGCTGGATATGATGAGGAAGGGCTAAAGAGAAATGAAGCAGAATAGATAGTAGGGGCTATTCTAAAGGATGATAGCACATTACAGTATTTTACACTGAAGAAGACTTTGTTTTTTAAGCCCAGGGATTTTATTCCCTTGTTTTCCCACACACCTGGTAACACTCAGCAGATTTCCATTACTTGTTCTTTGTACTTCTCTGGTGTTTTCATAATAAGTTTAGGGGATCAACACTGTTTCTTGAAGCCATGACTAGTTTTATTGGTCTTTGGTTCAGGATTTTTTTTTTTTTTCACAATGTAGCTTTCTCTTTAGCCTCATTCCTTTCAAATTTTATCATGCCTTGCTCATATAGTAAAGCTTATTCTGTTTTTTTGTTTGTTTGTTTGAGCCAGGGTCTCACCGTTGTAGTCCAGGCTGTTCTCAAAATCGCAGTGATTCTCCTTCCTCAGCCTTCCGAGTGCTGGGTGCTTACTCACTTAATTTAGCTCAGTAATTACAGAATTTTCTACATTTGTGATCTCTATATTTTATAGAAATATCTAACAAGTTTTCTGTCAAAGATTAGAAAATTGCTGTACATAAGGAGATGTAGGAACGATAAATCTCAAAGAAAATACTTTCATTTTAAGGTGAATGAGAAATTAATTATAGTTCATTGATATCAGATAATGACTCCTTATGTATTCTGGTAGGACATGCATCAAGTTCTGGGATTTTAATACACAGAGTTACATACAAGTATGTAGCTATTAAGCATTGGCTAACCTCATTTATTATAGAATAGGAATAAGAAGGGGCCAAGATATTATCTATATCCATATTCTATGGAAAGAAGATGGTCATAATGTTTACTGAAGTTCTCAAATCAACCTAGATTCAATTTTCTCCCTGCAATTGTATAAATGATGAAATTTTTAAATTAGGATTATAACATCTCCATTTTCCCAGATTTAGGATATTCTTTACTCTCAGAAACGCAAGTTAGAGCTAAGAATCAAATATGAGTTTCATTAATTGTGAAAAATAAGCTGTACTGTGTTTGTATGGTATATAATGTAAGGCTCACTAAAGTGGCTCTACCATTTAACTACCTAATTTTGAGCGGAATGCTTAACCTGTTTCTTTGTCTGCAAAATGAGCGTGCAGAAATCTCATCATCATGTGGAATAAATGAAATTGCATGTGTGTATTTGCTTTGTAATGCCTAAAACTATACAAATAAAAAGGCTCTGTGTTTAAATGTTTCCAGTTAGAAGTGAAGAGCAGCTGCTGAGAACTTCGACTCATTGTACTTTTATTTTCGTTGATTTCTCTAATTGGTGGAAATAAAATGGTGGTAAATTTGAAAAAGCAAAGATTACTAGTAGAAGATACTCATTCTTTTCTGTCTACTTTCTGGCTGTTACTATATCAGTCACTAACAATAAAAAATACTTTTACAGATTAAGAAGCTGGAACTCATAAATAAATGGCTTGCCAAGACTTCTGACTTGTGAAAGGCTAGACAAGGAAAAAAATCATGTTTCTTCCAGATTTAAATTTAATGATGTTCTTACTACACTATTCTGTAAATTTTGGTCAGCCATGGTTTAGGGTAAACTCCCTTACATAGAATACCTCTTTTTCCAGCATTGCCTCAAATGTGCACCCAGTAATCATATATCATTGTATTTTGCATTTTAGAGATTTGTGAATTTTTTTTATTTAAAAAATTGCACATTAATGTGGTTCTCATCATCATTTTATCATTAAATGCTTTACGGTGTTCTCGGGGAAGGGCCTTGACGTGGCAACACCGCTTCTTAACTAACGCTTCCCCTCTCACACCTACTAACTTTGTGACCTTCTTACCCTACTGTTACTGTCTTCACTCCAGTGGGCTACCATTAAATTTCCCTTCCCCATTATTAGTACACTGCTGCTTCTCTTTCATGTCCACAGTCTTTATTTTGAGGGCTGGTCAGTCATCCTTGCTTTGCTGGTTTCTGTGTCTGATGCTTTTGAACAGAATATCTAAAGGCACTCTTGCTGTACTCCAGAACACTCATAGTGCTGTTGTCATTAAGAAAACAGGACAAAAAATTGACCTTAAACTAAGGGAATTTCTTATTGGCCAAGTAACAGTCAAGTTATTATGTATCCTTTCTGTTGCTCTAAGAATAGTGCCTCAGACTTAGTTGTGTTGTTTATATTTGTAGGTGTAACCAAACAGTTGTTTCAGTAAAGTATCCTTATGACACTATTTCCTTTAAAAACATGTTTTTGATAATCTCAAAGCTTTGACATTAACAATCAGAATGACGTAATGTCATAATTTGACTATTTTGCCATTCCACATCCTATGTCTTATCGAGAGATTATTTTGATAGTTTCACATTATGACCCCTTCATATACTACTTTAAGGGGTCAGAAGATACTTGTGTGTGCGTTTATGTGTGTTTGAGATCTGAGAAGCAAATGAGGCCGAAACTTCACCTTATAAAATCTTTATCATTAAAACATACCATATTTATTGGAATTACCTGTTCTGATTTTTTTATAAGCTAAATATTGCTTATGTTACCTGTTGGATTTGAAGGAAAAAAGTTATTCCTGATAAATTACATACTGACCATTAAGAAGTTTCTCTCCGGCCACGGATTTAGCTTAGTGGCACCACGCCTGCCTCGAAAGCACAAGGTCCTGAGTTTGATCCCCGGTACCAGAAAAAAAAAGATGTCTTTTTCTCAGCAGTGATGAGAATGGTGCTGCCTTAACATATTAGACTTGTGGGGCTTTATTTTAAAGCTCAGGATTATACAATTTTCATTTAACTATAATATCAGCTTCTATTTTAGTGCTTTTTTTTTTTGGTACTGGGCATTGAATTCTGGTCCTTGCGCTTGCAAGCCAGGCGGCAGAACCACTGAGCTAAATCCCGAGCCTTCAGTTTCTATTTTAATTCATCTTAATTCTTTGTCCTAAACAAGTTTCCATTCCATAAAGTTTTTTTTCTCTCTCTCTAGTAGAAAACATTAAGGTACAAGTTAATACACAAATCAGTGGTTTGATGTCCCATAAAGATAAAGCACAGACTTCAGAATTTTTCTTTACTGTGTAGGAAAGGATAGTGAGAAAGATAATGTTTGGATTTTAGACGCAGTAGGATGAAATCTTTCCCACTGAGTCTTATGATTTACTGCTTCATTGATTGATATTGATATATGCTCATGCTATGCTGCCCTCCTGATCTCACCTGCAACCTGATACACGGAATGGGGAAAATATCTTCAAGAAAGATAAATATTGTGATTTTCAGCCTTTGCTTTATTTTGGCACATACATGAAGCACATCAACCTCACAAGGAGTCTCTCAAAAGAATCAAAATACAAGAAACTACATTTATGGGGCTGGGGATGTAGCTCAGTGGTAAGAGTGCTTGCCTAGCACATGTGAGGCCCTGAGTTCAATCCCCAGCACCACCATAAAAAGAATTTATGAAGTGTTAGCCTTTACCCCCCTTGACTGTCTTTAACCTTAACAGTGACATTCCAGATTGTTCTTGTTTGCAGAGTACATCCAAGCCATTATGATGATGGAGGAATCTGTTCAGCATGTTGTCATGACAGCCATCCAAGAGGTATGTTGGAGCTTTGTGCTTAATTTTGTGAAAAATTAAAAAGAGCAAACACAAAGATGAGTTTAAATAGAAGGAGGAATTTAATTAAGAAAGCAGTCTTCTTACTCGTTTTTAGAGAATTTTTTTCTTTTCCTCTTTTCTTCTTCTCTCTTCCTTTCTTTTCTTACCTTTCCTCTCCTCCTCTTGATTGAACTCAGGCCCTCCTGCATGCAAGCACATTCTCTACCACTGACCTACACCCCCAGCCCAAGAATTTTCTTTTACATTTATGACAGAGCTTGTTTTATTTTTATCTTTAAAAATCATACTTTTTTAAAGTATCATTTTTATTTAAATATTAAACATTTATTTGCAAGTGTAGCTATAGCTATTCCTAATTTTTTAAAGTGCTAATAGACTAATTCCTAAAACAAATAATACCTGTCTTAAACCAACAGCCTGCCTCACATTTAATTATTGGTTTCCTGTTTTAGCAAAAAAAAAAAAAAAATGAGCTTTCAACTCCAGCACACCCAAAGCAATCTCTAGTTGAGTATTTCAAATAAAAATACAAATAGAATACAGAATAATAGCTGGTCAATGTCAGGATATTAAACTATTTTTAGTCCCTTAAAGGGAATAGAAAATGGTATGTAGAGTATGAATGTGCACTAGCAGAGAAAAATACAAAAGGCAAACATGAAAATGCCAAATGCAAATAAATTTGTGATCTTTGACAATCTTTTTGCAGTGACAACACTCAGAATTGTACCATACTTCATATGTTAAAAGCATAGTCCTTACATCTGCCTTCTCTTCTGAAAGCAGCTCCAAGTTTAGGGATCCCCAGGCCTCCCTCACATCTGACCAGCTGGCTTCAAATTCAAGAATTCCCACTACCCCCTTAAGTTCTGTAATTCAATGCAAAGAGTGGAAACTCAGCAATGATAGTGATTTTATTATGGCAGATAGATACAAATAGAATTAAATGCATTTCTGAATTTTAAGTTTTGTTTATGTCAAAAAGTATGAAAGGTCCCCATATGCAAAGTTTCTGTTGCCCTCTCCCAGTGAATTCAGGACAGTATCCTCCTGGCAGATCAGCCTGTGAGAATACACAGTGTTTTTGCCAACCAGACAAGCTTAGTTTGGTATCCAGAGTCTATTGGGATTTCATTACATATGTACGATTGATTGACCCCTTGGACATATGGTTGAAATGACTTTTCAGCCGTCTGCTTCCTAGAGGTCAGGCTTATGTCAAGTGGCTCAACACATGACTGGTCTTTCTGGTATGGACAGCCCCCTTAGAGTCATCTTCTTAGTCCACCTTCTTAGTTTAGATTCCCACCTCCTAGGAACTAGGACGAAAACCAGCCAAGTTCTATTACACAGGTCCTTTGAAAAGTTGATCAAGCTGAATCACAGTGGCATGGGACTGTATTCCTGACTCTTTACAAGGCTGAGGCAGGAGTGCTTGAGCCCAGGATTTTGCGACACAATGAGACCCTGTCCAAAAAATAAAATGTAAGAAGTTGATGAGTTTGTCAGTTTTTGTGAATTGGTGAATCTTTTTAAAATGTTGTCCCTTTTTATATCATACAAGATTTAGTTGGGTCACAACCATTAAAATACCACAAATACAATTACTCACACAAGATGTCAGCTTAATTTGCTTTTAAGTGATCCTGGATTGGTATGCAGTCCCCACAGTCAGTGTTCCAGCTTTTCTCAACAGGATAAGCCTAATAAACTCTTTGCATTTTTAATGAGTAATCTGGCAGTGCTGATGCTGTTGGTGTGAGAATTTCATATTGAGAGCCACTATTACAGAGTAAAGGCACCCCTGAATCAAGGTAACACTTCAGTTCTCTGAAGAGCAGGGTGAAGGCCAAAATCACATTTCTGATTGTTTCTCCACCCTTTGTCCTTCAGAGTGTACATAAGAAAGAAACCATAGAAGATTGGGGCCGTTGGAGTCTGCGCCTAGCTTAATCATCCTCAGAATTCCTAAGTCTCAGCCTATTACAGGCCCTTTGGGTCTTCTCTTTGCAGTGCAGTAGTGAGAGAAGCAAATATGTAGGGGATATATATGTACATCCACACTCTCATCAGCCAGTTAATTTTGGCTAATACTGTCCACATTTATTACTCAGAAATAAGTACTTAATACTGTTATTTTGACTGTAAAGTTACTTTTTAAAATACCTAGCCACATTTTTAACTTTACTATTTGTCTTTCTAGTAATAAGTTTAACTTAATTCTTAATGGCTGGGGCTTAAAATGAAAATGAGCACCAGAAATCACACCTGTAATTTTATTATTTATGTACGTATGTATATATTTTGCAGTATTTGGGATCAAACCCAGGACTTTCACACTGAGCTGCATCCTCAGCCTTTTCTTTATTTTGTGACACGGTCTTGTCACTAAGTTGCCCAGGCTGGGCTAGAACTTGTGATTCTTCTGCTTCAGCCTTCCAGAGTGCTGGAATTACAGACCTGGGCCGCCATGCCCAGGTAGACCTCTAATTTAAATGAAGGCATTATCTTGGAGTGATAAAAATTTCCAGATTCAAAAGCATTAATTACAGGAAAATATTCCATTTACTTTTGTATTTTCAGTTTAATTTTTATATTTAAGTAGTGGCTATATATTCTTCTTTATATATTATATAGAATATCTTTGTTGCCTCACAATTATAATCATTTATATTTTAATTTCAGCTAATGAGTAAAGAGTCTCCTGTCTCTTCTGGAAATGATGCGTATGTTGACTTGGATCGCCAGGTATTTATTTATTAGTTTTGATACCTGAGATTGAACTCAGGACCTTGCCAGTTGCAAGGCAGGCACAGTGTCACTGAGCTAAATTTCTGGCTACCAGGTATATAATTGTGCACTGTTTTTAAATACTCAAGGAAACCACTGTTTTGTTTTTTAAAGGAGTCCTGCAATGTATTTTCATGTTTTTAATGGCAAAATTATTTGGTAATTTTTAATATCACTTGTTAATAAAATGCTGCTATACTTTTTTGTGTGCTCCAGTTCTGTTATCTCTTCCAATGCATGAACAGAAATCTTTGTATTGTCTTTTGTCATTTCTTCCTTATAGTTTGTAAATGTCTTACATGAAAATCTTTAATGTAATTTTTAACCTAAAGTTGAAATTTGTCTTTTGGCTACTTTCTGGTATTGGTTTTAAAAGCTGTTACTTTGTCTTTTATTTTTTTGTTACGGGGATTAAACTCTGGTCCTTGAGCTTGCACAGCAGGTGGCAAAACTACTGAGCTAAATCCCTGGCCCCAAAAAGCTGTTACTTTAAATGTGCTTCTTTTTTTTTTTCCCATCTTTACTGCCCAGAGGTTTGGTAATAACAAAAGACAATTTTATTTTAATCATTCTTGTACGTACTTTTTTAACTTAAAAGTTTATAATAATAGGCACAGTTTGGAAATGCTTAATTTATATTGAGAATCAGAATAGTAGAAATCTTTTTATTTAAAAATGGAGCAATGCAAATTAGCTTAAAGATCTGATATAACCAAAAAATTTTGTGTTGAAATGTTCTAGCTGTTAATTTTAGCAATTGAAACCCCTATTCTGTCTTCTTATCAAAGTAAAATTTTCATTTATTGAATCAGCAAGTCAGGCGTGGTGGTACACACCTATAATCCCAGCATTCGGGAGGCTGAGGCTGGAGGCTCGCCACAAGTTCAAGGCCTGCCTGGGCCACATAGTGAGTTCAAGGCCAGCCTGAAGTACATAGACCCTGTCTCAAAAAACCAAAACAAAAGAATCAGCATTACCAAGAATCAAGTAGTCCATAAGGATGATGATGTGCAAGAAAACTTAATATGAGAGAAGAGCAAAATTCAAAGGACAAAAATGATAAGACTGAGGGCTAAAAGAAATTCAAAGCCTTTAATGGTGGTGGCACAAGCCTGTAATCCCAGCACTGGGGAAGATGAAACAGGAGCATCACCACAAGTTTGAGATTAGCCTGGGCTACATATTGAGTTCAAGGCCAGCCTAGACTACATAGTGAGACCCTGCCTCAAAAAGCAAAAAAAGAGAAAGAAATTCAAAGATAGAAGTGCTTTCTTTTGAGTCATACAGAAAAGATCTTGATATTTCTCCCTTTACCACCTCCCAAAAAATACAAGAAGAGAGATGTTTTAATTCTGTGTTGGAGTAACATGTATAATTATTAAGTGTTTCTGTTTCACCAGTTGAAGAAAACTACAGAGGAACTAAATGAAGCTTTATCAGCAAAGGAAGAAATTGCTCAAAGATGCCATGAATTGGATATGCAGGTAAGAGGTCTGCCAAGTGCTACCACATGTACTGTGTTCTGCCTGTAGTATAGCATGTGATGGTAGTTTTTTTTTTTTAAGGGAAAAAACAAGTTTCTGGTTAAACAAATTTTATTTCTATACTTTTCAGCAACCTATTAAATGTATAATAAATGAATTAAAATAGTACAAACCTACAGGGGAACAAGAAATGAGAGAGATCAGCACACATGTCTTCACAGTGTGCTAGTATTGACTTCTAGGAAGAGCAGGGAAGATTTTTTTAAAAACCAGATTTATGGAGTTTACCAGTATCTATAGTAGAAATACTCTTTCAGTGGCTAATTCAAGTTACTGGGAGGTTAATAGCCAGCTTACATGATTTTGAATATTTAAGTTTAGGTATAGGTAGCTCTAGTACATGGTCTTCTTCAGCCTCTCAGAAGCCAAAAGGCAGTAGAAAAGTGCTATATGGCTAAAAAAAAGCAAAGATTGCAGTGGCCAGGAATAGTCCCAGAGTGAGCAGAGGAGCTGCTGTAGCAGAACCCCAGAAACCTTCTATGCAGAAGGCTATTGTAAGCCCATGGCTAGAGCAGGTATATCCAGTTCACGCCCTGTGGGCTGCATGTGACCCTGGACATCTGGGAATGTGGTCCCATAAGATCGTATTCTTTTCACAGTTATTACATGAATTTTGTCAGTATTTTTCATGACTTGGTTGGTGCTCAAGCATGATCTGCATAGATGACAACAGAACACTGTAAGTGAGGGCACAATGTAGCACGTCTGCCCCCTGCACCTGCCATGCAGTCGGTGGAATTAAAATCTGTGTGTACCTAGCGTTTCATGTACTTGTGTGACTTGACAAGTACAATGCAGCAATATTGATAATAATATTTTAATATGTGTTCATGTGAAAACAAGCATTTATTGTTTTTAAGCAGACATGTTTTCTTATTTAATATTAAATTTAGGCTTCTGGTGTTGCATAAAGTAAGCTAAGAAGTTAAAAATAGCTTTGTTACTTACATACGCTATATTATCTATTTTATTAATTCAGAGAAACCAAGTCAAAATTTTGGATACCTATCGACTGGAGTTGCACAGTTCTTATGTTGTTCATAGTGTCTTGCAGTATATGTAGACCTATAGCCAGGTTCCAAGTCATACAGTTCTTATCTAAAGAGAGGTTAGAGTGACTATTAGCATTATAGGGTAAAGAGCTTCCAGTTGCCTTTTGCTGTTGCCAGTCTTTATAGTGAAAAACTACTTAAAAAAGAAAAAGGATCAAGATAAACAAAAAAATAACCTTAGAGGAAGTAGTAAAATTTGGGAGAGTTAAAAAGTTATTCTTTTCAATCTAATAGCCTTAATGAAGATACTACATCTATAAAATAAGGACAAGATGCTATTTTTCTAAGGCTGTTATTTTACTTTTAAAAAAGAAAAATCAGATCAAGAAAACACTTCAGTTGATTGAAAGTAAAATTGTCCAAAAAAGTTACTAGAGTAATTAAAGATGAGGAAATCTCATAAAACAAAAAATAAGAAAAAAGATTATGCATGTGGAATTTACTTCATAACAAAGGGGACTTGGAAGGAATGGAGAGATGTACCCTTAAGAGAAATGACTGTCCATGCTCTGGTACTTGCTGACAGGTACAAACTGGCCTGTGCATTACACAGAGTTTATATTGTATATTACGTGGATTTTACTCTAAAGGCACAGGACTTGGTCATTGCCGTGGATGCATGTAAAGGGCATATAATCATATCACACTTACTGAGTTACATAGGAAGTAATTGTTACATAGTTGAAATGTAAATGCATTATTTACTTTTCAGATTTTAGAATTTATACAGATAATAAGAATTATGACTTCATTATTTTTACAAGTATTATCTTTGATAATATAAAATTATGCACTCAGATGGGCAAACTACAAGTTGCCGTCTGATTATACAAAGTTTTGTAATACTTGCCGCAGATACTTCTCAAAGCCTAAATTTGCTGATCTGTGTTTATAACAGAAAAGTTTGCCAGTCTCTGGTTTGGATAGGTTGCAAGATCAGTGCTAGTGTTGCAGGGAACTTATGAGAAGAGAAGAGATAGCTGCGTAATATCCTTTTATGTGGAGAGAGTAGTAATAAGGCCAGAATAAAGGCATCTGTGTTATCATAATGTATACTTTATTGGTTTCCAGTATTCAGACTTGTCCTATAGAGGAACATTATTGTACATATTCCTTGGACAGAGGATGTATATCTAGAATATAAAAAGAACTAAAAAGTATTAAACATCTTCCCCAAATTAAAGACCCAATGAAGAATTGAGCAATGAAATAAATAGACACTTCTCAGAAGTATAAATAGCCAATAAATACATGAAAAAATGTTCACCATCTCTGGCCATTAGAGAAATGCAAATTAAAACAACACTGAGATTCCATCTCCAGAAAGAATGGCTACTGTGAGGAAATCAAATAATAACAAATGCTCATGAGTCTATTAGAGAAAAAGGATCCCTTTTATATTGTTGGTGGGAGTGTAAACTAGTATAATCACTACAGAACTCATAGAGATTTTGCAAACAACTAAAACTAGAAATACCATTCAACCCACCTATTCCCCTCCTAGGTATCTTCCTGAAATAGTTAAAGATATATTGCAGTGATCCATACCCATGTTTATAGCATCATAACTCATAATAGCTAATTCTTGGATAAGGCCTATACGACCGTGAACAAATGAATGGGTAAAGAAATGTGGTGTTTATACATAGTGTAGTACTCTTCGGCCATTAAGAAGGGTAAACTTCATTGAGTCATTTGTAGGAAAATGGATGCACCTTGAGATCATAATGTTAAGTGAAATAAATCAAACATAAGTATAAATACATGATTTCTCTTATATGAAAAACCCAAAATATAAATAAATTAAAGTGGAAAATAAAAGACAGTAGGAAACAAGGAAATAGATCTTTTGCTAAAGAGAAGGAGACCAAGAGATGTGGCAAATGAAAAAAAAATGTGTCAGGTACATGTGCCAGTCCCCCACAGTGAATGTAATCATTGTATACTACAAGCATGTATTAATAAAATTTTTTAAACTTGTAAAGGTACAGATGACAGGAGTTGAGAAATAGAATGGGACAGGACAGATGAGGGAAGAGGAGAGCTGTTGACATCCTCATCTCACCAGGAAGGGTTGAGAACTATTCTCTGGTGCAGCAGCCATTGCATGGCTGGCTCCTCCTTGTGATCCAGTCTCAGCTCAAAGTCAGCTGATTCATTTGTCATAAAATATTTATCGGGCACTTGCATGCCTTAGGTATCACAGTAGATCTGGGGATGTCCACAGGAGGACTTCCATGATCGGCCAGTCTCTTATTTTAACCCTCTGCATAGCACTTTTTCTTCTAGATTTTGCATGTATTAATTCACTTTCTGGTTTTATAAGATTTGTATGTATATGTTTGTTTATTGTGATTGTTTTGAATATGTAACACATAGGAGTAAGGATTCTATGCTTTGTTCATCTGGCCATCCCTAATACTTAGCAAAAGGCTGCAGTGCTGCACCTATGACAGGCACACGGTGCATATCTGAGTTAGTGAGTGAAACCATGGATGGGTGGGTGGGTAGTGAGTGATTAAGCGAAGTAAACCAATAGGTAATTGAAGTGCGAATCATGATAGAACTATATTTGTGATAGGGAAGAATGGCTCAGCTTGCTATAATTTGTGTCAAAAAACAGAGTCACTAGATAATGTCTAAGGTTGATAAATCTAGAAACAATAGTATATAACATATTTAGAGATACAAAGTAATAACTGATGGTTAATCTATGAGAAGTTCATTTGTGGGTGTGTCTGGCTGGGTCATGGGCACAATGGCCATGGGGACTCTTATCTTGTCCCTGGCTCTTTCCTCTCTGTTGGTCTTTCTCTGTGCTCTGCTTTCTGCACCATGAAGTGAGTAGCATTGCACTACCAATATGTTTCTGCCTGGAGCCAGTTGACCATGACTGTGAGCCAAATGGAACTTTTCCTCCCTTAAGTTTCAGGTGTTGGATATTTTGTCCCAGAAATGTGAAAGCTAACCAATACAAAAACCAAAAGCCATCACATTAGGAATAGTTGAAAGTAATCTCTGAAGGGCCAGGGATTTAGCTCAGTGGTTTCACCACCTGCTGCGCAAGTGCAAGGACCTGAGTTCAATCCCCAGTACCAAAAAAAAGAAAGTAATCTCTGAAAAGTGAGAAAACTCAGTAGGAAATTGTTGCTTTTCATTATAAGTTTCTTAGCCTTGTTGGATTTTTTTTTTCCATAAATCATATTTATGTGTTTCTAAAATTGTCTTTTTGTATGTATGTATGTAAAAGGATTTCTGCCATATATATTAAAATTCTTTAGCAATATTAGCTAGTCTCTTTTTCTTTGCTAGCTAGGATTGAACCTAGAATCTCATACATGCTAGGCAAGTACTTTATTAGTAAGCTACACTCCAGCCTTATAGCTAATGTAATAATTCTTGTATTAAACTTCTATATTAAACACTCAGCCATCATTAAATTTACCATGTGTGATCCTGTTAAACAATTCTTAATTAAATTTTGAAGGATCTATGTCATATAGATCATACTTCTGACCAATATATAGTTGACCTTAGAAATTAGTAGCAAAGAAATGAGTATTGGGAAGCTGGTATAGCTGAGTGGAAGACCACATGCAATTTTGGAAACACAGCAAGTATAGAGCTGACATTTCAGATTTATTCAGCAATATTGACTGAATATCCACTGTGTATCATGCACTATTCTAGTCTCTAGATACAGTTAGGAAAGGGAGAAACAGAAGTAGATAAAACATCCCTGACCCCAAAGTGCTTCCATTCCACTAAAGAAGACATGATAAATATAATAGTATGTTATGTGGTGATAAGCGTTCTAAAGAAAAAACACAGTCTGGGAAGTTGTAGCAGGAGGATCACAAGTTTAAGATTAGCCTGGGCAAATTAGCAATTGAGACCCTGTCTCAGAATAAAAAATAAGAAAGGAGGGCTGGGGATTTAGCTCAGTGGTTCCGTCACCTGCCTCACAAGCTCAAGGACCTGAGTTCGATCCCCGCTACCAAAAAAAAAGAAAAAAGGGCTAGGGATGTAGCTCAGTACGAAGGCCTGGCTTCAATTTCCAGTACCACAAAAAAGAAAAAGGGAGAAGGAAGAACGAAATAGGGAATAGAGAGGAAAATCCCAGTAACGGAAGTCAGTTAATCAGTTAATAAAGCACAGAAGATAAAGTTAAGGAATGCAGAGTAAAGGGAGTTTATTTAAATAAACAGGGTTGTCAACATAGGCCCTCATGAGAAGGTGATGGGTTAGTAAAGTCCTGAGAAAGTTAGAGTAGCAAGTTTGCTAGGGGAAGAGAATTACAAAGTAAGTATATGGTAGGTGCAAAAGCCCGGAGATAGGAGTGTAACTTGATACACTCAAAAACCATCAAGGTGAAGATGGCAGGAGGAGAAGAGAGGCTACAAAAAAATAGGAAGAGATAGTCTGAAGAGGCTTCATATATGTCTTTATAATGACCAAGTAATGTGCAAAGCCATTGGGAGATTATAGTTGACAGTACTTTATTGTATTTTTCAAAATAGCTGGAAGAATTTTGAATGTTTCTAGTACAAAAAATGTTAAGTTTAGGATGATAGGTGTGCTAATTATCCTACTTTGATCCTTACACATTGTATATATGTATGAAGATAGCACATGCACTGAACCCTACATGTATGTACAATTATTGTGTATTTTTTTTTAAATGTTCCATTTGGAAAATAAATTTAAGATGCCTGTTGGACATGTAAGTGGAGATGATCTCCAGTTTAGGGTTCTAGGCTAAAAATAGATGGTCTTTACACCCAGGGAACTGGAAGCTATCACTATATTTAGGGGGAAAAAGGTCTAGATAATTTGGGGGAACAGAAAGGAATCAACTCAGGAGAATGAGGTGAAAGCAGTGAGTTGGTTACAGAATCCAGGAGAGTAAGGGTCCCGGAAGCCAGGGAAAGAAAATGCTTTAAGAGGAGTATTGGTCCTGTGAGTGTTGTCGGAAGATCTTAGTGATAGGGAATTGTTGATGATTATGAAAAGCAATAAAGTGTTGGGGCCAACACCCTGACTAGAACCTGTTCAGGAGAAGATGGGGACTGGGGAAGGAGACTTAGTAATAGCAGGCAACTTTGTGTCATCTTATTGAGATATAATTGATAATACAGTAAACTACTTGTATTTAATGTATACAGTTTTGACACATTTTGATTTGCATATGAACTGTGAAATAAGTAACAAAATTTAGAGAGCCCGTCACTCTTCAGAAGTTTCGTTGTGGCCCTTGTCCCCACATAAGTCCCCAGTTCTGTGTTCTGTCACTACGGGTTAGCTTGCATTTCCTAGAATTATATTAAGGGGAATCATGCAAATCATGCAGTGTATCTTTTTTTTTTTTTTTTGAGATTTTTCCACTCTGTCAGTGTCAATATCTAAATTTTTTTTATTTCCAAATAGTATTCTATCATATGGATATACTAAAATGTATTTATCCATTCACTTGATAAATAAAGCTACTGAAACCTTTTATTTTTTTAAATAAGGCATTGTCTGGGCATATGCTTTTATTTCTCTGGTATAAATACCTAGGAGTAGAATGGGTGGATAAATCATATGGTAGTTACATGCTAGTTTTTCAAGAAACTGCTGCACTATTTTACAAAGTGTTTGAAATGTTTTACAATTCTCAGGGAGGTGTCTGAGACTTCCATTGGTTCTCATCTTTGCCCACTCTTGGTATAGTCAGTATTTTTAACTTTATCCATTGTAGTGAGACTCCAGTGATAATTTCGTGGCTTGGGTTTGCATTTCCTTGCTGACTAATACAGATTTTTTTTTTTTTTTTTTGGTACTAGGGATTCAACTCAAGACCTTGGGCTTGCGAGGCAGGTGGCGGCACCACTGAGCTAAATCCCCAGCCCAGATTATCTTTGTGTGTGCTTATTTGCCATCTATACATCTTCTTGTGAAGTCTTTTTTAGATGTGAAATAAAGCCAGATGTTAAGGCATGCACTTGTAATCCTTACTGTTTGGGAGGCGGAGACAGGAAGATCCCTTGAGTCCTAGAGTTTGACTCACCTGGGCAACACAACAAGACCCCTTCTCAAAATAAATGAAGAATGAACCCGTGCTCATTCTACATGTACACTATTCCAAAATAATAGGAATGTGTATGCGCAGGTGACTGTACTTCCTTAGCGATTGAGCTGATGCCAGCATAACTGGATGGAACAACTGTTGTTTTTCTGTGTTCCAACAGGTTGCAGCATTGCAAGAGGAGAAAAGCAGTTTATTGGCAGAAAATCAAATATTAATGGAAAGGCTCAATCAGTCTGATTCTATAGAAGACCCCAACAGTCCAGCAGGAAGGAGGCATTTGCAGCTCCAAACTCAGTTAGAACAACTACAAGAAGAAACATTTAGGTAAAAGGTCGTTAAAATCTAATCTTTAAAAATTTGGTAACTTATTTAAAATTAAGAATGTAACATTAGGACTTCTAGGCAACTGCAGACCAAGAGGGCTGTGTAGTAACCAAATTGCCAAAATCTTTCCACATAACTTGAAAACTTCATGTCTAGGAAAAATTCTAACAAAGCTACATTCTCAACATTTCTTGAAGGCAGAGTGCTCCAACTGCAAAATGGCTGAGTGAAAGAAAGAAACCAAATCTCTGCATCCCACACACCTGACTCACTTCCACCTGCCATACTCTGCAGCTTTGTGGCAAGCAAAGACACACAAGAAAATATTAGAGGAAGACAGGAAGCATGCTAATGAAAGGTGCTGAAGGAGAATTGGAACAATCATCACAAAGATTAAATTCACCCAAGATCTGAAATTACTTTTTTTTGTTGTTATTTGGTACCAGGGATCGAACTCTGGACCTTGTGCTTGCGGGGCAGGCGGCAGCACCACTGAGCTAAATCCCCAGCCCTCTGAAATTACTTTTTAAAAAATTAATTGAGCAGAGTAGACCACAAACTGCAAGTCAGGGATTTCAAAGTACATCTTCTCTTTCTGTTGTTGAGTGTATGTGTGTTATGCTTGGAATGGAACCCAGGGTTTCCTGCATGCTGGGCAGGTGCTCTATCCCTGGTGTTATCCTTTTGGTTTTTTTTGGTACCGGGGATTGAACTCAGGACCTTGCACTTGTGCGGCAGGCGCTGGAACCACTGAGCTAAATTCCCGGCCCTTTTTTTTTTTTTAAATCTAACTGTAGATTTCTAGTTTTAAAACAGAAATTAGACATCAGTTAGATTTTTTTATATCATTAAGTAATATAGTAATGTATCTGCTATGTTTTATTCCTCATTGAAATGTTAGTAGTTACTTTTTCTCATTTTTCCTTATGCCTTAACAGGAAAAAATAAAAGGTTTTCTTAGCTGGGCATGGTTGTACATGCCTGTAATCCCAGCGCTCTGCAAAGCTGAAATAGGATCGCATGTTCGATCCCAGTCTGGGCAATTTAGTGAGACCCTGTCTTAAAATTTTAAAAATATTAAGGGCTGGGGATGTAGCTCAGTGCGGAGGCCCTAGGTTCAAACCTAGATGGTCACTACCACCACCAAAAGAAAGAAAGAAAAAAGAAAAGCTTAGTTTTCTCAGAAACCTTAGGCACAATGCATCTCCTGTGGTCTACATTAGTAGTTCAAAATGTGATCCAAGTACCCTGGAGGTACTTGTAGACTACTTCAGAGAGGCAAGGCCTTGTCTTCCAACTACATCTTGTGCAAGTGTAAATTTTTTTTATGTATTTCAGCAAAAAGCATGTTACAGCAAATGAATGTAGAAACAGGAGAACCCAGCTGTGTTCTGCTAAGCCAGCTATAAATCACAGTAGTGTGTGAAACAGTGCCACCCTTCTCACTTCTTAGTTTTATAAACTGTCTTTTTCATACATAGTCTTTATATTAGCATAATGGATTTATTATGTCATTTTCAAATAAACTAAGTAAATATATTTAACTTTTAATTACTAATATGACAATATCTATAGATTAAAACCAGCACAACCAAAAGTTCTTTAGGATTCTCAGTAATTTTGAGTGCAAAAGATTCCTCAGACTGGAAGTTTGAGATCACTATCCACATTTTCACTTTGCAAGAGAAACTCAGTAAGATCCAAGCCTGGCTTAACATCTTTTCTAAATTGTAGCTAGCTTTTAAATATGGCTTAGGAAATTGCATTTTCATTATTAAGGAAATAGTGGTTAGTGCTATTTCAGAATACATTTTTGTAATACTATATTTTGAAGTACCTTAGCAACTCAAATATTTTATCATTACCATACAGTTCAATATTTTTTTATTAACTAGTGTTGGTACAGTCAGATATAATGCTTAAGTTACTATTTTCTAACCAACAGGGAGAGTCTCAATTGTTTGTTAAACGGTTTAGGATAGTTTTTTCTGGTATCAAGAATCAAACTGAGGACCTTGTACTTGCCAGGCAGGCACAGCACTGCTGACCTAGCGCAGGAAAAGTTGGATCCCAACATTTCATCATATACCAAAATGAATTCCAGGGAAATTAAAAACTTTAAAAGTGAAATACTAACCAAAAATCTTTAATTGTACACTAAAAGCAGAAACTCTGAAATGTAAGATTAATCAATTAAATTATATAACACTCAGAACTCTGTGTATTAGGCTAGCTGTGGTGACACATGCCTATAATCCTGAGGCAGGGGAATCCCAAGTTCAGGGCCAGCCTGGGCAACTTAATATAGACCCTATCTCAAAATAAAATTTAAACAGAGCTGAGGGTGAAGTAATTGATCAACTGCATAAGATGACAGGAGAGATGAAGAGCCTTGTAAATGAACAGAAAGATGTATGTTAACACATCTGGTTAATTTGAAGTAGGAAGAGTATTACCTGTGTTTTAGGGGAAAATATCAACGGAAGTGAGACTGGAGAATGCACTTCCAAAGTGTTTGTAACACTTACCTATCTGGATTAATATGTCATTTGTATTTGTGTTGTACATATTTTCAAGGAATATATTTTAATTTAAAGTTTACTTTCATAATCAAGGAATAAAACTTTCAATTTTTATCTGCAGTATTTGGGAGAACATTTTTGGTGTCTAGCTTCCCATCAGTAGAATGGTTGCCAGTTGTCACCTGTTCCAAATCTCGGAAGCAGGGAATCCTTTTCATGAAGTTATGACTTGGGAATACATCTTTTTGCCACAGATTCAGAGACATGTTAACAAAGAGTTTATTCCCATGTTTCATGTTTTTATTTTATTTTGCTGTTCTAAGAGAATTATGAGACAATAAGTACTACTTTCTTGATCTCTTTTGTTTTGGTTTCAGACTAGAAGCAGCCAAAGATGATTATCGGATACGCTGTGAGGAGTTAGAGAAAGAGATCTCTGAACTTCGGCAGCAGAATGATGAACTAACTACTTTAGCTGATGAAGCCCAGTCTCTAAAGGATGAAATAGATGTTCTTAGGTAAGCAGTCTTTCCTTTGTGTGGGATCACAGACAGAGCAGTTTTGTCTGTGCTGTTACAGACGAGGCTCTCTGAACAGCATCTTTCAGAGCCACACTACCTGAGTTCAGATCCACCATTTATTTAACCTCTCTGTAGCTGTTTTCTCATCTGTAAAATGGAAATAATACAGACTAGCCTCAGGTTTATATGAGGAATCAGATTTATATTTGTAAACACTTGGAATGATCTGGCAAACCCATGATATATTTGTTAAATAGAAATTAAACTGTAACCATGGCTTTGTACTTGTACTCCAGAGCTTTTTTTCCTCCTGCCATTGTGTAATTCTGAGCCCTTCAGGGACTCGATTCTCCTTTTTCTTAGATGTTGGCACATATCACATCATAAGGCTTCATTTCCTTCCAGATGTTCTTATCTTCCCTTTTAGTTATTGTCTCAGGCACCTCACTGCTTGCCATGTCACTGTTCTACCATTCTATGTCTTGTCCTCTGTTGAATTATTCCACCTCTGTGTTCTACATTTGCTCTTTGATAACTGAAAATGTTAAGAACATCACATAGTGATAGAGTTTTGTCCTACTATAGATTAATGATCTTAACATTGGATTCTTCCTCCAGCCCACCATTTTCCTATGCATCAGTACATTGTTTTCTGTGCTGTCATTGATGTTAAATGTTTTCGTAACTCTGCCCATGTCTCTGCCCACAGACCACACACCACCCTTATGCCTTAGTCTCAGTAGATGATCCTCTTGCCTGTTGCTCAGAGAGAAGAAGCTGTCACCTATTGAACTCTCCATGGCCCTTGTCTCCTGCTCCTCTGAACTTCCCTAAATTCCCACACCTTTTTTTGCTTTGAGAGTACAAACCTGTTACTCTTCCATCTATTCAGAATTGAAACTGTCTTCACTGTTGGGAGTCTCAAATGATACATAGGGACTGTGTTGGCTCAATTATCATTTCTCTTTGCATCTTGAATCTCCCTACACACACACACACCATGTCTCTTTAATATTAAAAAAGATAAAAAGACATCACTGCTCTCTTTCCAGAAATAAACTTAGATCACGAGGTAAAATGTGTAGTCTTTCCTTTGCTTCCTAAAATTTGCCACTGCCTGTTCTCCACTTATTTACCAAAACTTATTTACCAAAACTTCTTTCCTGTGATCTCATGACATACTCATTGCTAAATCATTTGGACACTCCACATCTTTCATTTTACTCTTGTGCTAAATGTGATTCTGCTGGGTACCTCTTCCTACTTACTTTTCTTAATTTATTTAGCATTATTCATATATTTTGCTGTAATTTTGGTCATTTTTCTTAACCTGAATAAAAAATTAACCTGGGCTCTCCTTTCATCTTGTAATTTCATTAGAACATGTTGTTTCCTGGTAATCTCTTTGAGCTTATCATTGTCTCAAGCAGCTTTCCAACCGTCAATGTGTTTCTGATTTTTAATTTCCCATCTCATTCTAGACATTCTTCTGATAAAGTGTCTAAACTAGAAGGTCAAGTGGAATCTTATAAAAAGAAGCTAGAAGACCTTGGTGATTTGAGACGCCAGGTTAAACTCTTAGAAGAGAAGAATACTATGTATATGCAAAACACTGTTAGTCTGGAGGAAGAGTTAAGAAAGGCCAATGCAGCTCGAAGTCAGCTTGAGACATACAAGAGACAGGTAAGAGCAGAAGCCACATTCTTAAGGGATGCAGCACCCCCTCAACACACACACACACACACACACACACACACGAGTGTCAAAATGCTCCTGACTTGTCTTCACAGCTTTTAACTAAATAGTGATAAATGTAGTAAAGAAAATGTAATAGAGAATTTTAAATGTAGGTCTTACACAGAGATTATTGATTGTTCCCTATAGCAGATTTTTAAAAAATTTTAAATTGATAGTGTAATAAATATGTGACCCCGAAAGAATAACACAGGAAGTGCACGTGCTTTAAACGTAAAACATGCTCTTCACTCCTTATGGGTAACCTTGGGACTGTTTTCAGATTTTCATTCCCGTGGATCTGTTTATATATTTTTTAACTTTTTAATGGTACATTTTAGGTATACAATATGGCATTCATCATTGGAAACTTGCACCTTTACATAATATATCTTGGTTCTTATTTTTCTCATTCCCCTGCCCTCCCTTCAACCCCTCCACCCCACCCTATATATTTTTATTCCATATATATTTGTCCTTAAAATTATATAACATTTGACATATACCAAAACATTATATAAATGACTCAGTGAAAATACTCTTGTAATTTACTTTTTTCCTCAGTAGTGCATTTGTGGGATACATTTATGTCAGTAGGCATAAATTTATCCTATTCATTTTCCTTGCTGTACAGTATCCCACTGAGTGACCATCAAAATGTATCCATTTTATAGCTGAAGGACCTATAGAATGATAACCACCCCCAACCCTCTGTGTTTGTGTGTGTGTGTGTGTACGTAAATTCCACTGAATACTACTGATCATATCTTCTTATGTATGTGTGTGTGTGTGGTTTTCTTATAGTATCTGTGCTGTAATTAGGTATTACTAGTTTATTTCCTGAGTGATTGTGTTCCACAGTAGTGTTTTATTCATTCCTTTGCTCCACATTATCACCAGCATAGTACTATATTCTCAAAACTTTTAAGTTTTGCCAATTGGATGACTATAAAATGGTTTGCATTACTTAGAATATATTTACTGTCTGTATTTCTTTTGCAAATTATCTATTTTTTCTTTTACTCATTTTTAAGAATTGAATTTCTCTTATTTTTAAATTTTTTTATCACTTCAGGCATGCTGGCACATGCCTATAATCTCAACAGATTACAGGAGGCTGAGGCAGGAGGATCACTGCAAATTCAAGGCCAGCCTGGGATACATAGTGAGTTCAAGGCCAACCTGAACTGCATAGTGTCTCAAATACATACATACATACACATACATTTATTTTTATAACTTACATGTTTTTTTCCTGTAGGTCTCTTGTATTCCTTATTTACCAAGAGTTTTTACCTTAAATGAATGTTGGAATTTTTTTTTTTTTTTTTTTGGTACTTGGAATTGAATTCAGGACCTTGCACTTGTGAGGCAGGCAGCAGCACCACTTAGCTAAATCTCCAGCCCCAACATTGGATTTAATAAACTATTATTTCTACATCTGTTAAGAGAATCATAATGCTTCTCTTTTCTATTAATGTGGTTAATTATAATAATGGATCTTCTAACCTTAAACCATCCTTACAGTCCTAAAACAAATTTAGCCTGGTCACAGTGCATTTATTTGTTATTTTCAAATTTGTGTGTGTGTGTTACTGGGGATTGAACCAGGGCAATCCATCACTGAGCTACATTCTTTTTGTTTTTTATTTTGAGACAAGTTCTCCCTAACTTGCCCAGGCTGGCCTCAACTGGCAATCCTCCTGCCTCAGCCTCCCAATTAGCTGAGATTACACATGTGTACCACCATGCCCATTTTATTCATAATATTTTGTCCCTGTAACTCACTTGCAATTTTCTACCTCATATGCCTTTCTTTTCTGGTGTTGGTCTGAAACTTACACTAGCTCAGTAAACTGAGATGGAGAGTAGTCTGTCTTTTACCATTCTCAGAAAGAATTTGTGTAAAACTGAAAATTTCTAATTCTCAGTGTTTTAGTACAGCAGCCCTGAATGATACCATGCATGACTGCCAAGTTTTTTGATGGAGATATTTTATCCTCAGCACTTGAGAATGAAATTTTTCAAGTAAATGACAAAGTTGAAAGATTTGATGAACTTGAATATGGACTTAGAATTTACCTAAAATTAATACAGCCTGAAAAAACTATGAATTATATTTTAAAATGAAATATAAAATGAGTAATTTGATTAGTGTTTCTGAGGAGAAAACAAAAAGAATTGAATAGAAGAAAACATTTTTGTAGCACTTGAGTGCTGAGTTACACCCCTACTTGCCTGTCCTACCTCCCTCTTTTCCTCCCCCCCTTTATTTTTCTTTTCTTGAGACACAGACTCTCCAGGTTGCCACTTATAGCCCAACCTAGTGATCCTCCCACTTCAGCCTCCCAAATAGCTGGGATACAAGCATATGCCACCTTGCCTAGCAAGAAAAACATACGAAGGAAAAGATGGCTGAACTTTTTTCAGAACTAATCAGATTTTGTTGTTGTTAATGCCATTAATATTTTTGCTGATTCTTTTTTTTTTTTTTTTTTTTTGGTACTGGGGATCGAACTCGGGTCCTTGCTCTTGCACAGCAGGCAGCGAAACCACTAAGCTAAATCCCCGGCCCTTGCTGATTCTTGTTTATTATGCCTATGTAAAATTGTGGCCTGTGTCATTTTAGCTTTGGTTCATGTTTATCTTGTGGAACCGCAGGTACTGAGTTGAGATTTGGTTTATCCAGACAGTATGTGTTTTTGTGTCAGACAGATTTTCTGCATCACTAACCAGGACCACTCTAATTGCCTAGTTAAGGTTTTCCCAGACAAGATGAATAATAAAATTTCAAACACAAATCCATGTATATTAACTGATATGGTTACAGGTTTCCAAGTTAGGCTCTTTTAAACCCAGTTTATCTTGCTAGCTGATGGGTTTTTCTCCTAACCCACCTGTTTACTGTCTCGTCACCTTTTATATCCCATGGCGGTTTAATACCCACTTGACTCCTATTGACCTCAGAGCCCAGGATTCCTGTTAAGGGCAGTTGATCCCTTGTGGCACCCGTAGCTTCTGAAAGAATCTCATCTCTCACTTTAGTTTTAGCCTCTTTTGAACTTAGCTTGGATTTCCCTTTCCTAGGATCTCCTTCCTCCCTCCTTTCTTCCCTTCCTCCCTCCTTTCTTCCCTTCCTCCCTTCTACCCTTCTCTTCCCTCCCTTCCCCTCCTGCCCCTTTCCTCTCCCTTTCCTTTTCTGTTTTTCTCTTTTTAATATCAGAAGTGTTTCAGACTACCCAGTTATCTGTATTGTTGGAAATGAAAGTCCTATAGATTTATAGTTTCAATATTGTTACTCCAGATGATTCTGGTTTAGGAGCCTTGTAGTATCTAGGCAGATTTTGATTCCTTTTTCTCTCCATTGTATTAAGCTGCTAGATCATACTCATTTATTTGAGTATTGGTAAGGAAGAGGTTTTCATAGACATGCAGAAAAGAAAATAAGGTTATTTATTGGGGGGGGGGGCAGTGCTGGAAATAAAGCCCAGGACTTTGTACACAGGCTCTACCACTAAAGTCCCAGCTCCCATAGGATGATTTCTAATGTTTCAGACTATAAACATTAATGTTACATTTCTGTATCAGGTAGTAGAACTACAAAATAGATTATCTGAAGAATCAAAGAAAGCGGATAAATTAGATTTTGAATATAAACGTCTAAAAGAAAAAGTTGACAGCCTTCAAAAAGAAAAGGATGTGAGTACTGTATACATACTAGGCCTTTTGGTTTTCAGCACTGCTAAGATTAAGGCAATGATAGTTAACTCATGTTTTGATTATTAATTTCATCTATTCATGAAAATTAGAGATTCTGTTCATTTTAAAATTAATTTCCATTTGCTTTAAAAAGATCTAAAATAAAAGATGGAAAGAAAATTTTTACTTCCATTCTTTAATACCTGTTTATCTTTTCTACCCCTGCTATTCTTTTATATTGTTGTATTCTTGACTTTTTTGTAAATTTAAGTAGCTCCTCTGTTTTGTAGGATTAATGTAGACAATAGTTCTTTTTGTTGAGCATATTTTAGATCTTTTCAAGTTCTTTTTGCTCTTTGTGATTTGGGACATTTAATTTTTATCGTTTGATCTTTTATATTTAATGAGAAGAATGTTAGGATGTAGTAGGTAGCTTCATTTCTTACATTTAACCATGGATAACATACTACTTTGCCATAGTTCAACTGTTGTTAAGTTTAAAAAAAAAAATGTTGCTTTTTCTCGTTCTGTGATCTTTCACAGATCCTTCTGTGATGAAAGATAAAACATGCCCATGTTCACTGTTGTTCATTGTTTTATTAGCTAAGGTAAAGAGCGTAGGTGAATATATTCATAAAACTTGAAATGAATCTTCTTTGTCTTTATGTCTATCTGTCAGAGGTTAAGAACAGAAAGGGACTCACTGAAAGAAACCATTGAAGAGCTTCGTTGTGTACAGGCTCAAGAAGGGCAGCTCACCACTCAAGGTAAAAATATTTTAGTAGCCCAAACATGCTTATTTCTGATATCCTTGCAAGCATTAGGTTCACTTTACGGTGATTGCCTCATCAGATAATGAAAAAATTCGAGGCCACAATAATTTTGATCTTTGTCCGGATTTTATGGTAAACAGGGTATAGTTTTTGGGCCAGATTTACTTGCCAACTTAAAAAAAAAATTTATAAACACTTTGAGTTGTATTAGATAAAATACATTTTTTAAATCATCTTTTTTAACCTAGAAAATTATATTCTGAAAGCTTCTCATGACCACTTTAAAAACATATTAAGCTTTTTAAATTGATGAGTTTTTTTTAAATAAGAAAAATGAAGTGGCTGTTAATACATCAAGGACTGGGGTCCAAAAGCTATTCTTTGTCATAGGGCAAGATCACCACTGAGTGTGAGGTGTGCCCACCTCACTTTGTCCTTGTGTGGGGGACTGTGGGAGAATGATTGATGCCTTGCATGGCTGCAATCTCTTCACTCCCATACCAGTAACCAGCCATGGATTTGGAGTTACCTAAAACTGGAATTTTTCTGTTCATCAGCTCTCACCTGGCCTTACCTTCCAGCTAACCCAATGTGTATATCAGCTGTTTACCTGTGTTCTCACCACTGCCCCCTTTCCTTATCTTTTTGACCTGTTCTAGGCCAAGCTTATCAAAACCTAATTCAAATAGCCCCAAGGTTTTTCTCTATAACCCAAATTACTAAAGCCAGTGAAAGAAAATTCTATCTTCCTTGATTGTCTTCACAAAAAAGTACATTTCTTAGTATAACTGGATCCTCACTGCTACCTGGTATTTATTTCATTTATCTATAATCAAATCTATGTAAGTTTTTCCCAAAATTTTGAGAATCTAAGCTGAACTTTGTAATACTTTTGTTCTTATCTCCTATTTTGTTAAGAAAAGGCAAGTTCTCACATTTGTTTCTTTGCTACCTAAAACCTGTGTTTTAACCTTCTTTGTGTACATACATCTATTTTGGAAACAAGGTCTCATGCCATATAGTTGAGGTGGGCCTTGAACACACTGTGTAGCACAGGCTGCCCTCAGACTCATACCAATTGTCCTGCCCCAGCCTCCCAAGTACTGAGATTATAGGCATGTGCCCCCACACCCAGCAGTGTATATATCTTTTGACCAGCAATTTTGCTCCAGAAATTTACCTTAAGGAATTACGGAATTATTTGAAATAATGAAATTTTAAAACAACCTGAAGGTTAAGCACTACAGAAATAGCATTCTCATTCATCTGTATACCGTAGAGGCATTAAAAAGAATGAAGTATATCCTGTATATACCTGCCATGGGCAGATGTGTATATCATTAAGTTAGAAAAGTAGGTGGCACCATTCTTGATTTGTTTCTGTATATTAACAATGAACATTTTGAAAATTAAATTACAATAGTATAAAAATATCCTAGGGGCTGGAGATACAGCTCAGAGCTCAGAGCACTTGCATAGTGTAAGTTAGGCTATTAGCTCAATCCACAGCACCACAAAAGAAAAGAAGTAAAAAGCTTAAGAATAAGTTTAACAACAAAGAAGTGGAAGATATGTAGTATAAAATATTGCTGCAATCAATTAAAATACACTCTTCAGTGGAGAGACTTTCCAGGGTATTGCAAGATTCAGTGCAATCCCAATCAAAATCTCTAGCAGACTATTTCATGGAAAGTGACAAGCTGATCCTAAAATTTGTATGAAAATTTGAAGAAACCGGAATGGAGAACTGACACATCCTGGTTTCAAAATTTACTATGAAACTACTTTAAAAGAAACAACATTATACTTGTAAAGGTCATTAATACACTATATTAGTAGAATGAAGGGAAAAACACACATGAACTTAACTCAGTTGATGCAGAAAAGTCATTTGCCAAAATCCAACACTTTACATGTAATTTTAACAACTCAAACTAGAAAGAGAAGAATATTTCGTCAATGTGATAAACATATACAAAAAAGCCTGTAGCTAACATATTCAGTGGTAAAAGACTGGATGCCTTCCCTCCACGATCAGCAATAAGACAGAGATACCCATTATCACCACTTCTATCTACCTTGTACTGGAATTTCTAACCAGAACAATTAGAAAAGAGACAAAAAGAAGAAAAAAAAGAGAGGAAGGGATTGCACAGTTTGCATATCCATGTGGAAAGCTGAACCCTTCCTTATGTATAAAAATTAGCTCAATCTAAGTCAAGGACCTAAATATGAGAGCTAAACTATTAAAATTTTAGAGGAAAATATTCATGACATTGAAAATTTGATAGTGATTCTCTAGAACTGATAACAAAAGCATAGGCAACAAGAGAAAAATAAATTAAGGGGTTTTATCAAAATTGAAAACTTTTGTCCATCAAAGGACACTATCAAGTGGAAAGAAGACAGTCCCTAAAAATGGGAGACAACTTTTGCAAATAACATACTTGATAAAAGATTAAATCCAAATATATAGAGTTTCTACAATTCAACAAACAAAAAACTTGAACTGAAATTTTTGCAGAATTTCACAGTCAATAATGTACATGAAAAGACAACATTACCTCCATAAGGAAAATGTTGCTGATTAATACAAATTAGGGTGACTAATACCCTCTTCCTTTCAAAAAAAAAAAAAAAGGAAAATTTATATTGGTAAGAATGTGAAGAAATTGGAACAGGTGGGTATGTAAAATGGGGCAGCTCTGTAGAAACAAGTTTGGTGATTCGAAAAGTTAAACAGATTCCCATATAATCTAGTAATCCTATTCTTAAATGTTATCCACAAGAATTAGTAACTCCAAAAGAAAAAAAGACTTAGTAACTCAACCAGATACTTGTACATAAATGTTCATCAGAGCATCATTCTTAATAGCCAAAAGGTAAAAAAAAAAAAAAAAAACCAAAAAAACAAATGGCCATTGACAAATGAATTTATAAATAAAACGTTGCATATGTCCATAGTATAATACTATTCTGCCATAAAATGGAATGAACTTCTGATAAATGCTGTGTAACATGAGTGAATCCTTAAAACTTAAGTAAGCAAGACACAAAAAGACAAATATATTATTCCACTTATATGAGGTATCTAGAATGGGCAAAATACTGAAACGAAAGTGGAAGAATTTACCGGGGAACAAGGAAGATGGATTGGAAAGTTACTGCCTAATAGTGACATTTTCTAATTAGGTAGTGAAAAAGTTTTGAAAATAGATGGTGTCAATGGATATCTGAATGTAAATATTCTTAATGCTGCACATACTTTTTTTGCACATATTTTTTAAATGTTGAAAATAATCTTGTAAGACTACCATGACATAGTCTTCTCCTTGAGAAAAATTCTGATTTTAGCTTTTTACTATATTAAAATTGCATTACTCTATTATTACTATATTATATATTACTATATTATTAGAATTGTATTACTATATTAAAAGAGGTAGTTATTCTTTCTGTTAATCTTGCATTTATGTTTGTAGGGTTCATGCCTCTGGGCAGTCAGGAATCTTCAGACAGCCTAGCAGCAGAGATTGTTACACCTGAAATCAGGTAAGGAGCTTCACTGCATAGTTTCCCTAGATAGAGCCTGTCCTCTGCAGTGTGAAGGGCACCAGTCCCCCTCTATTTCTGATACTGTCACTCAGTGTTAAATCTCCATGTTAGTAGCTTTTTTCAGCTGGCCTAACAGAGAACTGATTTTCTCACTTCACACACGCAAAGCAAACTAATACCTCCTGTGCTTGGATGGCCTTGGCAAACATTTAGCAGTTGTTAACACTTAGTCCAAAGACAAGGGTTATGCTTAGCTATGAGCCTACAAAATAATTCATTGCCAAGATTTATTTACTAAATATTTGGAATGGTCTGAGGAAGATATACTGCTGCTATAGATAGGAGGACCCACCTTGTCTCTAATTACTCTTCTCTCAGTAATACCTTAGCTTTTTTATTTAGTCAGAACATTTTCAACATTCTATTTATTTTGGTATGTGAATGAAAAATGAAGTTGGGAAGAATACCAAGTGTGCCCAAAAGAGGATGATTAACCCTGAATACTGCTTTTACCTTTTCTGGACCTGTTTACCCCTTTAAAAAATGGGATTCTTGATTCTTCACAGTATCTTTAGGAGTATAAAATGAAATAATGATTGTGTAAGAGCTTTATAAACTGTAAGCATTCAAATACTCATTGAATAAATAAAGATAACTTAGTTTTTTGATGGCACTTATTTAAGAGGTATGAACAAAAGGGGTATAATGCAATGTCGCATCTGAATATATCTTGCATTACTTTTTATTTTTCTGACATCTGATATGCTAGTGTATAATTGAACCAATGAAATTATTTGAATGAACACTTAATTATTTATGAGTATTTATGAATAAATGGCTATGCCCTCCCAAAAAAATTTTTAAAGAAACTAATTGGTATACAGTTAGCTTTCTAAACTAAGGAAAGATCCAACAAGTATGGCTTTTCCATGTATGACTATATACAAATTAAAATATACTCCAGAAGAGCTATCAAGAAAACAAAATGATAAACAGTGAACAGGGGTTAATGATAATTATTTATTAATGTTAAGAGTGTTGAGAAATTGGAATCCTCAAATTAGGGGAAGCATAACTTCTAAGCCAATTAGCAGAATGCATTTTTGGTCTAAAAATGTGCCTTTTAACCAAAAAAAAAAAAATCACTTTTGGGGGGATAAATTCTAAGGAAATAGCCAAGAATAGACAAGAAGATATATTTTAAAAGCTGATTATTGAACTGGCAAAGCTCAGAATTGATCATCTAAATGCCCAGTAATTGAACATGTTAACTCAGCATAATAATATTTACTGTGACTAATACCTGAGATAAACAGTTTAAAGACAGAAAAGTTTATTTTGCACATGGTTTCTGAGGTGTCATTCCATGGTCACTTGGTCTCATTTATTTGTCCTGGGGCGAAGCAGAACATCACAGCCAAGAGGACATGGTGGAGAAGGGCTGCTCACCTTATGGTGTCTGTCTGGGAAGCAAAAAGAAAGAAAGGCAAGGACCAGAGACACGATACACCCTTCAGTACACACTTCTGATGACCTACTTCCTCCAACCAGAATTCCTTCAACCCCGCCACCTGAAGTTTCCACCTCCTAACAGTTACCTATTAGGCTGTGAATGGATAAATAATGGGTCAGTCCATTGACATTGTCAAACCCGTCACGAGCCAGTCACCTCCAGAGTTGGAACACTGTTGCAGTGGGGACCAAGCTTTCAAGTATAGTTAATAATATGAAAAAAATTATGAAACTTTTAGGTGTAAATAGGTACCAGTGCAATATGAACTGTGTGAGCCCATTTTTTAGATGATTGCAGCCAGGTGCAGTGGTGAATGCCTATAATCCCAGCACTTGGAAGCCTAAGGCAGGAAGGCCCCAAGTTCAAGTCCAACATGGGCAACTTAGCAACTTATTGAGACCCAGTCTCAAAATTTACAAAAGGGCTGGGGATGTAGGTCAGTGTGAAGTCCTTGAGCTCAGTCTCCAGTACCACACACAAAAAAATTATTACATGCATGTATATATGCATAGCACTACAAGGCTGTATTTCAGCAGTGGCTATATTGCTTCATATAGGGATGGATGGTTATTTTTTCATTTATTCCTTTTCCCCTATAATGAGTGTGTTTATTTTGTAATTGAAACATATTAAGTCAACATTGCCCACATACAAAATATCTCTCATTCTATTTAATTTCTGGAATTGGATCACAGATTTGATTCCTCTTTTAAGTAACACAGGTAAAAATGCTCTGTAAAATTTATGATGTTTAAGCTGTAATCCCAGCACTTTGGATACTGAAACAAGAGGATTGCTACAAGTTTGAGGCCAGCCTGGGCTAGACAGTTAGCTAAAGGCCAGCCTGGAGTATATAGCAAAATACTGTCTCAAAAAACCAAAAAGGAGGGGGATTTATTATTTGTATTTACAAAATAAGAGCTAATTTTTTCATGTATATGCTTGGTTATTTTGATTTTTTTTTTCCATGGGAAGAATGGTTTTTCATAGTACAGTATCTAGTATCTGATACTGCTGTCTTCATGGAGCCATCTGTAGATGGCCCTGTGTAAAAATAAATGAATTATATCTTTAACGAGTCTTCATATGCACTGATATCCCATTATATCCTCCCTGCAGTCAGTGTGGTGTTCTGTGCATTGCTTGCTTTTTAACATCCCTCCATTACAGGTTTTAGGCACGGCACAAAAAATCTGAAACAACATAATTCAGTAACTTGACTAATAATTGGACTTGTTATAAGGATACAGCTTAACATAACTATAGGAATGGGTGTTCTGAATATCTTTTGTTTTTAATTCTTAAAATTTATTTTATTTATTTTTTTGGAGAGGGTCTCAAGGCTAGCCTTAAACTCATTAAGGCCAGGCTCGCCTCCAACTCATGATAATTCTGTTTCAGCCTTCCAAGTGCTAGGACTGCAGGTGTGCATCACCACCCCCACCTTCTAAATATCTTAGGGACAGTCCTCATTGAATACATCTTGCCACCAAATAATTGATGAATGGAAGAGTGTAACTTTAGAGGTCTTGTTTTCTTATAAGTACCAAAGAAAAATTTATTCATAACTTAAATATTTAAATCAGAAGGGAAATAGGATTGAAATTTCCTTCATTGTAAGTCATGACATATAGTGACTATTGTCTGCAGATTATGCATTCTGAAAAGAATTTAATACCTGAAATGTAATGTCTTAGCAGTTTATAGAGGAGCTAAATTCATTGCTGATACTTTCTTTTTATTGTTTATTTACTGTAACTGCATGGCTGGAATTTAATACTTATATTGTATTAATATGCCAGATAATGGTTTCATTTTGCTTACTCAGGGAGAAACTTATTCGTCTTCAGCATGAGAATAAGATGTTAAAAATTAACCAAGAAGGTTCCGACAATGAAAAAATTGCCTTATTGCAGAGCCTCCTAGATGATGCAAATCTACGCAAGAATGAACTGGAGACTGAGAACAGGTAAAGTGTGTGTAAGTGGTGGCATCTAGCCACAGATTACCTGTTTGCCTAATTTTGATTCCCTTAGAGAAAGGTTTTGTGTTTTCGAATGTTTTCCTGTGCTATTGTATTTCCTTTTAAAGGCACTTTAATCCACATTTCTGTCTTTACACAGATTTGCCAAAAAGTATTGTACCTGTTTATGCCAGCATTATTCTGTTAGTTTTGTTCAAACAAAGTGATGCTCCCCGGTACCAAAAAAACAACAACAACAACAAAAAAATGATGCTAAAACTCCACCATTTGTCCTTTCTAGTCACTAGTTAGAAGTAGAGGATTTTAAAAAAAAAATCATGAATTCGGTGTTTTACAACAGTTGTAATTCATATTTTATTTTCAGGTTTATGTAATTTACTGCATTTTTGCAGGGTATTGATTCAACCCCACTGGTGTGTGGTTGAATCAACAAAAGAACTTTTTCCCCCTAATCTGTTACTTACCCTAACCCTAAAAGAAATCATTCGTCTTACGAGCAATTCAGTTATTTTAAGACCTTAGAATCTGTAAATTTAACAACAAAATCTTTTTGTTTTGCTTCTCAGTTTTTGGTGTATTGTGTTATATGATCATTAAAGTCAGATACTTTTTTGTTCCTTATTGTTAATGTATGTTTCCAATACACAATAATTATATTCATATTGACAAACTGGTACATATATGTAACATCTTAATCATTTTCAATCCCTTTACCTATTGCCTCCTTTTAATCCCCTTCCCTGTCCTGAATAAGTCTGGCTTTTTGTTTCCTACCATCTCTCCTTTATTTTATTCCTTTTTTTTTTTTTTGGTTATGGGGATCGAACACGGGACCTTGTGCTTGCAAGGCAGGCAGCAGAACCACTGAGCTAAACCCCTGGCCCTCTCCTTTATTTTATTCTTTTCTTTATTTATATTTTAATTTTCTCATATAAGAGAAACTGTAAGATATTTAACTTTCTGTGCCTCACTTAATACACTTAACGTTATAATCTCAACTCCCATCCATTTTCCTACAGATGACATGATTTTGTTCTTCTTCATGGCAGAATAATATTTCACTGTGTATTTATACTACCTTTTTTTTATTCATTCTTGTGTTGGTGGGCATCTAGGCTATTTCCAGAACTTATCTATTTTGAATTGTGTTGCTATAAACATGAATGTATGCATGTATCACTATAGTATGATGTCTTTAGCTCTTTCAAGAGTATACCAAGAAGAGGTACAGGTGGGTCAAATGGAATTTCCTCTTTTAGTTGTTCTAGAAATTTCTATACTGATTTCTATAGTGGTTATACTAGTTTACCTTCCCACCAAAATGTAGAAGGGTACCTTTTTTCATACATCCTCAACAGCATTTGTTTTTTATGTCTTTGATGATAGTCATTCTGACTGGCATGTGATGGAGTCTCAGAGTTGTACTGATTAACATTTCCCTAATGGCTAAAGATGATGGACATTTTTTCATATACTTATTGGCCTTGTTTATTCATTTCATTTACCTATTTTTTCATTGAGTCATTAGGAGGGAGTTAATGTCTTAGAGTTCTTTATATATTCTAGAAATTAAACCTCTATGAGAAGAGTGCCCAACAATAACTTTTTCCCATTCTGTAGGTTGTCTCTTCACTCTGTTGGTTGTTTCCTTTGCTGTGCAGAAGCAATAATAATTATAACCATCTCCTCCCAATATTTATGCCTGCTCTTTGACCTTTTTAATAATATCTCCCACTCTAAAACCAATGTGATCTTTCTAAAATACTTTCTGATCGTGTTTTCTCTTTCTTCCACTTCTTCACCATTGAATAAAGAACCAAACTGTTACTAAAGCATGCATCATAATGGAGCAGAGAAATTATGAACCTTAGAGTCATAATTATTAAAGTTTATTCCAGTTTTCAGCCAATTTAGAGGATTGATTACAGAATAAATTTTGAATACTTGGCATTTCATACACAGTACAGATGGAGCAGATCCAGTCAGATCTTTTCTTCTCCAGTTTCAGCCTTCCCCTCAGAACTTATTCATTCCTGAACACTGTACCCTCTCTTTTTGCTATACATTTTTGGACATAGTGAACTGTCTTGAATCCCTTTTCTACCCCTTCACCACCTAGGTATTTTATTTATTGTTCTAGTTTCATTTCAAGCCATGCTTTTCTTAACTCCTGCACTGAGTTCTTTACCAAAACAATCATCATTTGTTTTGTACATTCTAGTGAAGTGTCCTGAAGTATTCACCTCATTGTGTTCACTTCTTGACCTTCTACCTCTCCACTGGACTGTACTCCCCTGGACTGGAGTGCACAGTGCCTGACACCAGTCTACATAAATGTATAAAAATGAATTTCAGATAAATAAATGACACATTGGTTTCAAAAAAATACTTCTACGAAAAAGACTATGTAAGAAGTCCTCAGGTTGGGGATTTAGCTCAGTGGCACTGCACCTGAGCACCTTGTACAAACACAAGGTCATGAGTTTGATCCCTAGTACCAAAAAAAAAGAAGTTCTCATTAGAAATTTCAAGCCTGTCAGGAAACAGTGACATAGTTCCCATCGAACTTTCTAGATGAGGAACAGGCTGAGGGAGGCCAAGCCACATGCCAATGGTAACATATCCAGCCTATCTTTTCTGTTGGAGCCCTGTCCTCAGACTGCAACATCCTCAGGGCCATAACAGGCCTTGGGCATTCAGGACATCTGGCACTGGGACCTCTGCTCCCGTGACAAAGCAGCCACGCACCTGGGGCAAGTCGCCTCATTCCTCTGATACTTGAGGTGCCATAAGTTGTGGTAAACCTAACATGCCTTTCCAATATCCTCTTCTTCTTTACTTACCTATATGCACTTTTTGGTATTGGATTTTGAGTGGTTTTTTTAATTCAACTTAATATAGATAGATTATGTTTGGCCAAAAAAGAGAAAAATTCAAACAGTACAAAAATAATATGAAAAGTAAGTTTACTTATGATATGAGGCTTCTACTATACTACTGTTACTATATACTACTGCTATAACATGGGCTTTCATCTTTGAATGATGTTTGCTTTGTAACCATATGACAACCAAAGGAAAAAAGGCATAAGTAAGTCTGTACTTGGAAAATTAATGTACATTTGATTTCTAGGCTGGTGAATCAAAGACTTTTGGAAGTACAGTCACAAGTTGAAGAACTACAGAAATCTTTACAGGATCAAGGCTCAAAAGCAGAAAATGTAAGTTTTAATACATTCCAGAAACAGTCAAAGTTTCACAGTGTAGAGAAAAGCTATAACTTTTTTAAATTTGATAATCTTTATGAAAATAATGTAGCATTATACTAGTTACGGAAAAAAATAATGTTTTCCTTCTACTAACATTCCTTACAGAAAGGATCAGGTAACATTTTATTGTCTTTCAGATTCATTCTGCTATGAATTAAACATTCACTTCTACTTATTAAGAGAAAGTTCATTTGAAGCTTTCTGTTTTAAATGGGCTCAGTATCAGCGGCGAAGTATAGGCTTTCTGCTCTGGTCAAAAAGAGAAAAAAAGATGCTTGTTGAAGTAGAGTTTTGTGGGTTTTTTAATGTAAAATTGATATTTCAGAAAACAGTGCTAGCCAGATATGTAATCCTAACACTGTGAAAAAGCTGAGGCAGGAAGATTGCAACTTTGAGCCTAGGCTGTATGGTTTAGAATGACCCTGTGTTAAAAGTTTTTTAAAAATTTTAACAGACTGGGCATGTAGCTCAGTGCAAAGGCCCTGGGTTCAATCTCCAGTACCACAAAAGAAAAAAAATTAAAAGAAAAAGGGGAAAAAAGCAAAGAAAACAATGCTGTCTTTTGAATCCCAGGGCCTCATACATGCTAGACAAACACTGTTGTTACCGAGCTATATACCCAACCCTTTCTTTATTCTTGTTTTGAAATAGAGGCTCACTGAGTTGTCCAGAACTTGGAATCTTCCTGCCTCTGCCTCCTGAATAGTTGGGTTAGAGGGATACGCCTCCACACTCAGCTTTTTTGTCCCTTTAGTGCTCTGCATGTTGCATATCTCTGTCATAGCTCTGCCTGCATGGTTGGCAAATTCCCACTGGAATATGGCACATGTTCAGCCAAGGACAATGTCTTTGCTCGGCTCAACATGCTACCATCCATCACAGTGCTGAGGGAGCACACAGTAGTTATCATTCCCTGGCAACAGTGCAAGTAAGTCATCGTTGGGAAGTCCTTTACTTATATAATGAGCAGCATAAAATAGAGCTATGACTTAAAACCGTTTAGTTAGTATGATAAGGGGGAAACTATTACTGACCAGTCTTTGCTTCAGGTCAGCTTTTTTGTTTTTCCTGTTGCAGTGTAATATTTTGTGATCTCTGGCCTTTGACAGTAACCCTACTTGACTGTGTCATTGATAGAGACATTTTGGGGATCAGCTTCAAAACTGTATTCATCCATCCAGCATTGTTAATATAAGAAGGTATCAAAGCAAAATTGAACAAAGAGGGGAAGTTAGTTACTTAAAGCTTGAATACTAAATGTGAAAGTTTATAAGAGACCTAATTTTTTTTTTTGGTACCAGTAATTGAACTCAGGTCCTTGCACTTGCGAGGCAAGGGGACCTAATTTTATCATTTGCTCCACACATACATCTAGTTTATATTGGTAACACGGCCTTGCTGATCAGTGATTTTAGTTTATCCTTTAATATGTTGGTGGTCATTTTAGATTTCCAAACTGATTATCACTTTTCTATCATAGCACCAACATTTAAAGTTCCTTATGCTCTTACTAAAATAACTAGCTTATAGTGGCTTTTTTTTCCTTGTTTATTTTTTGGGTTTTGTTAATTGTTATTTTCTGGTGGTAGGCATTAAACCAAGCACTCTACCACTGAGCCATATTCCCAGCTTAGTGCCATCCTATTTAAAAGTATGTTTTATCCATAATACTAACCACAAAGGGGTAAAACAAATGTACCATACGTGTACTAAAATATTAACTCCAGTGAAGAGTTCCTTAGATAGGCACCACAAAGTGCGTTATTTCTCTAATTAATTAACATCTCTAGGTCCCTTAAACTGAAATGAAGTAAAATTCATTCTGATTTCTAAAATGTTAAGGAGACTTTTATGAAAACTGTAGTGTTACAGTGATATCATTGTGCTTAGTTCTCTTGTTTTAAAACATAAAGGAGCTTACTATTTGTTCTTTCTAGTGTTGGGATTCAGACCCGAGGCTTTGCACATGCTAGGCAAACACTGTATCATGAGCTATTCCTCAAGCTGTAGAAGTTTTTTAAAAACAATTTGTCATAGTCAGGTATAATGGCTCGTGCCTATAATCCCAGCACTCTGAGAGGCTGAGGCAGAAAAATTACGAGTTTGAGCCTAGCCTGGGCAATTTACTGACTTACCAAGACCCTGACTCAAAAATTAAAAATGGGCTGATGATGTAGCTCAATGCAAGTGCCATGGGGATGGATGGATGGATAGATAGGTAGATAGGGCAACCACCTGGTTAAATATCAAATTTAATTTAAATACACTGTGGGCCATTACTTTGAGCACATTTTTTGGAAATGGGCTGCCAGCTCTATCAAATATTGTTTGCATAAATTGGTCGATTCATTGACTGCTGAGATGTAAGTGTGCTATCTTCATGTGAATTAAGCAGAAAGTTACACTGAGTTCTTTTCTGTATGTAGACAGGATGCAAGTGGAAAATTTTGTTTTGAAGCTCTCTCTGCAAATAGCTTAAGAGAAATAAATAGTGCAGTACCGGATATGAAATTATACTTTTAATGTTTTCTTTTTTCTTCACTAACAATGTTGCATCTCAGGAATGCTTAATAGTTGAAATTGGTCCCCTCCAAAGTACACCAACATAATTTCTGCCTATTATAAAAAATTTATTCCAGTCAGGCATGGTGACCCACACCTGTAATCACAGCACTGGGGGCTCTGAGGCAGGAGAATCACCACAAAGTTCAAGGCCTTGGACTACATAATGAGTTCAAGGCCAGTCTGAAATTCAAGGCTTTGAGCTACGTAATGAGTTCAAGGCCAGTCTGAAGTACATAGTGAGATCCTGTGTCAAAAATCAAAAACAAAAAAACCTGAGTCCTTTCATGTGACCTTAAGTCAGACATTTTATTATTTTTATTTATTTTTATATTGTGCACATTTTTATTATTTTTACTTCATTTGTTTTTAGCATGGAAGTAGAAAAGCATTGTTATATCCAGTCATATTTGAGCTAGCAACAGTATGTAAAACTCCAGATAACAAGACAGGATGAGGAGACTATAGAAGAAAACAAAATACACATTTCTGGGGGGAAAAAAAGTGTATCTTTTACTTCATAGTTTACTAAATCGTTTCTTCTATTGGCTGCTGTATTTGCTTCACACTAATATGTCTTCTCTGTCTCTTGGCATGGTTTCTGCTCAAGGCTATTGTAAGTATGGCTTCCTATTTCTATATATTGAACCGTTTTTAGATTTGTACATTATGTGACATCATAGTTGATGATATTGAAATCTTAAGGCAATTGTATGTAAAATGACTATACAGTATTACTTGCCATATAGGTTTATGCCCTTTACAATCAATATACTTATGGGATATCAGAGGTTTTTAAAAAATCAAACAGAAATCATGGTTGTCCCCGTGTCCTCACCCACCCACCCACATACCATTATTTTAGCTGATTCCTATTGCATCTGGCCCTCCTGCCACACATCTTGTCAGTAATAGGGAGGCACTGCAGCATAGAAGGATTGGAGGGAGAAAGATTGTGTGTGGACTTTGAGATCTGGTACCACCTGGCTTTTAATTTTGGATGCCTCGATGACTTTGGCCTCATCTTCCTCATTTGTAAGCTGGGGCTAGTATTACAGTATGGTAAGGTTTACATAAGACAGCAGTATATGACATATGTCAGTGCAGTGCCTGACATATTAACCACTTAAGTATTACATGTTATTTTAGAGTTAATAATTTTGCTAGAGTTTAATCAAAGCATAAGTACAGAATTAAAGTTAAGTATTTCTTTAAAAGAATTTACATTTTACCCTTTCTCCTAAGAGAAGACAAGTAATAATCAAAAGGCTAAGAGCATTCTCTCTTGTATATTTGGGATTATCTCATATATCTTTGCATCAGTGACAAGGAACATCATGGTCCACTGATAAAACTATAGTCAAAATGAATTGAGCAGGGCCAGGGGTTTAGCTCAGTGGTTCCACTGCCTGCCTCACAAGCCAACGACCCGAGATCGATCCCTGGGTACAAAAAAAAAATGAATTGAGCAAAGACGTGAATTTGAATTATTGCAAAACTTGTTAGAGTAGACATGAATAAGCAGTTTATGGTGATCATTATTAAATAAAGCAGCTAAGAATTGAAGAACTAATGAGGGGTTTTTCTCCCCTCGTTGCGACTGTTGATCATTTGGACAGTTTGTTTTATAAGACTGTATTAATTTGATTTTGACTGAATTACATAACTGTTTACCTCAAAATAAAATGTTTTATAAAATTCATTATCAATGAGTACCCTTAGGAGTATTTGTGAAACTTAGTGTTCCTATTCAGAATACCTTTATTCTTTATTTTTGGGTCAGTTTTCATCTCTTACCTTTTAGGAGACCTGGGCCAGGGATTTAGTTTAATGGTGCTGCCTCCTGCCTTGCAAGCACAAGGTCCCGAGTTCGATCCCCGGTACCAAAAAAAATCTGAGCATATTACTCAGCACCCTTTGTAGTTCCCATACCATTGCATAAATTGTCTGGAACCATAGCTTTTTAGTTCATTTTCTCTACTGTAGATGGAAAGCTGAAATCTCTAGTTTCTGGATGTTTTATACTAATTGCTACCAATCGTGAACTGGCTACTCTCTCCCTTTATGAAAGAGAATAAATTTAGTTATATTGTGTTTTGAGTTCTTCAAAGAAATTAAGGAAAACTGACTCAATGTTAGTTACTTTTTATTCTTAATTTCTTTTAACATGGTTTGTTTAAGGAGTTAATAAACTGATTTTTATTTTCCATTTTCAGTCAGTTCTTCTCAAAAAGAAGCTTGAAGAGCATCTGTAAGTATAAAAGTTGTGAGGCTCATTATATCGTGAAAGAGAAGTGTTTTGCATCAGACAGTTAATCAAGGGCCTAGTCAGAGGCACAGGTGGTCCTTGAAGATGAAGAAAGTTGTAATCCATGTTAGTATTGTCCACAGGGTCATGTCTACCTGCAGTATCAAGTCAAACAGTGAAAGCATTAGAACTGATTTTTCACATGAGATAGCAGACTTTGTGGTAGTGTTTATCATCAGTTAGGAGCTTGAGACATACAGCAAGGGTCAGCTGGGTCAGAGAGTGATGACTTAGGCTCTGTGGTCCTGGTGTCTGTCACAGCCACTCAGTTCTGTGATTTTGCAGCCATGAGCAGTACTAAACTAGTAGCTGTGACTGTGCTCCAAAAAGCCATGTATGGAATCTGGGTTTGGTAGTGCACGCCTCTAATCCCAGCACTCTGGGAGCCTGAGGCAGGAGGATCTGAAGTTTGGGCTCATCCCGAGCAATTTAGGGAGATTTAAATAATAAAAACAGCTGGCCAGGGATTTAGCTTAATGGTGCTGCCGCCTGCCTTGCAAGCACAAGGTCCCGAGTTCGATCCCCAGTACCAAAAAATAAAAGTAAAAATAGGCTGGGGCTGTAGCTTGGTGCAGTTGCTCTGGCTTCAGTCAGTATTTCTATAAAACAAAAAAACAAAACCCTTCATACACATGGTGTGATTTTTAAAATACAGTTAATGTTTAAATATTTTTCAAAAGCTTTATTACAATAAAAGACACATTGCCATTAATCTCCCTCAAAAATCTTCCCCAGGGTTTCAACCCACTTAATCCCATTGTTCTTGTCACTTTCTGAAGTGACAAAAGTGTCTTCAGTTGCACTGTCATGGCTACCTTGATGTCCTGAATCAATTCAAAATGTTCATCTGTCATGATCATTTTGACTTTTGGGAAGAACCAAAATTTGCGTAGTGCCAGGTCCGGTGAAAAAACCTGTATGTTTGTATGAGCCTGTTTTTCTGTGAGATGTCACTTGGCATCAGCATTCACTCGTGAAAACATGAAAGAGGACTTCTCAGGTGCTTCAGAAAGTGACAAGAACAATGTGCTAAGTGTGTTCAAAGCAGGAGAGGGATGATTAATGGCAGTGTCTTTTACTGTAATAAATTTTTAAAATTTCAACACACCATACTAGGCTCTAGTTTCTCAGCTCTAAAGTTTGACCAGCTGAATATTCCTTTTTAAGCAGACTTACTAGTTTTCTATTAGTAGTAGATTTTCAATTATTTCCTTGAATTAAAAACATATATAAATAGGATTGTGTAATCTAAGAGATAGAGTATTTGTTTTCTTGTGAAGAAATCTTTATCTGAGGTTGACTATTAAGAATGATGTGAAGAATGTTTCATAATTTTTCTCACACTCAGTAACAACCTTAATCTTTTATGTCACTTCCTAGCAGAACTCCTTGCAGCCCTTGGATATAGTGTGGCCATGAATTAGTACTGTTGGAGTGTTACACCTGTACTAAACCAGACATCCTCAATGTCATAGAGAAAATTTTCACTTGTTCTACTATGATTGAAAAGAAATTTTGTTGTCTGGAAGTTTGACTCATGTTTTCCTTTTTCCTTTCTTCCCTTCCTTCCTCTCTCCCTTCTTTTTATCTTTTTTTTTTTTTTTTTGGTACCAGGGATCGAACTTGGGTCCTTGCGCTTGCAAGGCAGGTGGCAGAACCACTGAGCTAAATCCCTGGCCTTCCCTTCTTTTTATCTTAAAATATGAAAGATGTGAGATACTCCTAGCAACTAAGAATTGTTGACAAGTCTTAACAATAGGCAGGTTCTTTTCTTTTTTTATTTTTTTAAAATTTGTTTGCAGTACACAAAATTTACATTCATCTTAGGGAGGAGGTACATGTACGTAACACAACTTGATTATTATTTATTCCCTTTCTCCTTTCTTATTCCTCCTTTCCTTTATCTCTGTATCCCTTTTTCCCATTTTCGTTATTACTGTTGTTATATTTACTTCATGTTTATAACAGTTTACATTCATTGGAAGTATTTGGTAAATGTACACGATACATCTTTTACTTCCCCTACCCCCAACTTTTGCCCTTGGTCTCTTGGACCCTTTCCCATTTGCAAAAGATCTGTTTTCTTCTATCAGTCCTTTATTTTGCTCTTTATTTGTGCTTTGCCTTACTCAAATGATAGATACCATACAGCATTTAAACTTCTTGTGAATCTGATTTGACTGAACATTATATTTTCGAGGTATATCCTTTTTCCTACAGGTGCCTCAGATTTGTCCTTCTTTATAGCTGAATACTAGTCGTATCTCATGTATAAATACCACAGTTTGTTTATCCATTCATCTGCTGATGGACAAACAGGCTGTTTCCACCAATTAGCTGTTATGAATTGTGCCAGTCCAAACATTGGTATGCATGTATTGCTATAATATGATGTCTTTAGCTCTTTGGGAAAGATACCTAGAAGAATAGCTAGGTCAAATGCAATTTCTAGTTTTAGTTTTTTAAAGGTTAATGTTGGAACATGGTAGTTACTATCTGATGGATTTTGATGGTGTCTATTGTTATTTCACCTTTTTCATTTCTCCCCCCCCCCATTAACTTTATTGGTACATTTTAGGTATACAATACAGTTACATTCATCAGTGGGATCTTGTACCATGACATGAGTCTCTTGGTTCTTATTTTTTTTCCCCTTCCCTTGCCCTCCCTTC